TGAACTACGCGAAAATAGGTGAAACAAGGTGAGACGCCGTTTTCCTATATCTGTACACTTTACCCATCCAGTGCCGCTACGCGGGTAACAGCCTGGGCACTGTCTAGCGACTCAGGTTAGCAGCTTGTGTGGTCAAGACGTTATGGCACTCACAGGACCACACGGGTGCCAGCCTGCAAGGCGCATTACGAAGGCGTGGCTTCTAAGGCCAGCAGTCTAGGCAGGCTGCTTAGTTGCTCTGGTGGCAATGTGTGCTCATGGGAGCTGGCCTCTAGCATAGCCGCGGTGCCAGCCTGAGGGCTCAGTAACCTGCCTCTCTAGACCATGGACTTGGTCCTGCATAGGAATCATCTGTCCATTTGTCCTCATCCTTCCGATTGAGTGGAAGAATACGAACCCACGTTGGCTTGTCAAGGTTGTCACACTTGAGGAACTTGGCTCTAGAGTATGTGCCCTTCCAGGTCACGCTTTTTCCCACTCTGTGAAATTGGCAGAGCTGTGCGCAGCCGGCGAAAGCCAGTCTGGCAATGCAGTGCATTTTTCAAAGGCCCTAGGCATCAGCTGTGCCTGCGGGGCCAGTTGGTTGGTCGTATCACTATTGGTTCCAATTTGCATTAAAGAACAACATTCTTCGAAGACTTTGAAGAATCTCTGTTGCCATGCGTTTGGAAGCACTGCTGGACAATCAGGTTTTAAAGGGGTGCATGCTCGGGCCGGATGATTTTGAGTTTGTCTCCGGGCTTGTGTTCCTCTGCCCTGACATTCATGCAAACAGTCATCATGTATCATACATAGTTGCGCTACATTTCACAGTTTGATCTAGGGCGGTCACCTATGTCACTGTCCCTTGTGGAGAGATAAAGGAGCCAACATACTCGAAATAGGCCCATACATGCGGGATTCCAATACTTTCTTTTGGCTCAAGTTGTTTGGGGAACACGTGCCCACTGAAGAGGTGCTAGGATGTTTAGAGAACCCTCCTCGCAAGACAGCACACCCGCAAGCGAAGAGCGATCTATTGTCTTCCACCTCATCCTGATCACGCTGCTGGGGATGAAATCCAACTGCCCATCGAACTCCAAGAATTTGACCGCCTCAGTGAGTTTGAGAATGCTGTAATCGAGAGTCTCCCATTCATCGGCCAGCACAGCACCTTTGGATGTGAGCTGGAGTTTGTCAGCAGGAGCACCCAGCAAATCCTTGCGGACCCCGTTTGGAACACCATACAGGAATGCAACTGCTCCAGCCTTGTTGTACGCCGGTGCTTCGTACAGGCGGAACGCAAAGGGCAACTGCGACAAAGAGCCAAATCCATCTATGTTCCAGCCGAAGACAATGATCGAGTGCTACCCAATGCATTTTCACATGTCTCAGACATTCGGCGTGTGCAGGTGGAGGCAGGTGTCCACACCATTGTTGAGGCCGCCTGGCAGAGTTGTCAACGACTCCAAATTGTTAAACTGCCGGACACGGTTGTTTGTTTGCAGGACGGTGCCTTTCAAAGGTGCTATGAGCTCAGAACTGTGCTTGTTCCAGGGTGCAAGCAATTCGGACGCAGTGTGTTTGAGGAATGCTGCTCTTTGTCCCAGATAGGAGCTGCTGAAGACACAACCAACCTGCTTGCCCCGCAGGCCCAGGTTTCCCCACATGCCTTTGCCTTGCACTTCGGCAGGTCAACTTCGAGAAAGCAGCTGCCGATCCCTCGAACTGCACACGGTATACAGTATACCCCAGGGATGCTTCCTGGGGTCGGGCATTGACCAATTGAATCTGCCAGCTGACTTCAACTTCTTAGGGCCCGCTGCATGCGAAAACTGCAAGCGGCTGCAGCGAGTTGAGCTCTCTCGGACTGATTTAAATGCTATTTGGGGGTCAACCTTTGCGCACTGTTCGCACCTGGAGCAGCTCTGTCTCCCAAAGAAGCTACGGCGCATTGGACAAGAAGCCTTCTTGCTACGTTCTTCGCTGCGTGAAGTGCATACCCCGCCTGCCTTGCTGTATATTGCCCACCGAGCATTTTCAGGATGCGCACAGCTTAGGCGACAGATTAAAATGGAAGCCAAAATGACATGGAGGGGACCATATGTCGAAAGCAACACTTTCGAGATGTGCCACAAGTTTGATATGCCAGAATGGGTCAATTCCTTACTGTGCAATCAGGGGAGCAGTAGGACATTCAATGCCGAAGAATTTGACGATGAGTTACGCAGGAACCTACACTGACAATGCTTGCCTGGCTCAGGCTGGCGCCTATGTGTCGGTCCTGCAGATCAACCCTTTCGCCTCTGACGACTCTCTGTACAGCGCCACAGTGTAGTTAGTGTCAGTCCTGGATGAGTACAAAGAGTACAGGCCTCCGAGGCATACTAGCTATAGGGTAACGGCGTTTCACCTGTGTTTCACCTAGACAGAGGGGCTCTGCATGGTACAGACGTTGACGGACGGCTTCCTCATGCCGTGCACATGCCTTGCATATGCCTAGCTCATGCCTTGCACACTGAGATGCGCGCTAAGCGGCTCCCCATGAGCTGCTTGTCTGTCCCTTTCGATCCTGTAGGGGCGCTTGTCTTTCCGTGACTCCCGTGGCAAAGCTGTTTTGGAGTCACCGCCGCAGGCTTGTGACGCATCGCTCTCCTCCTCCTCCCCTCGGGGAGGAGTTGCCCCCACTTGTAAGGAGGTCTCAGTTTTGATCCTGCGTGAAAGTGGCTACGCTGCAGTCTTGCCTGCAACAGCCTGAAGCGTTGTAAGCTGCTTGCAGTGGTTTTCCCCTGAGCCACATCCATGTTGACATCCGAGCACCTTGCAGGATTGTCCGTCCTCAGGCAACCAAGATGCTGACTCAACGGCTGCCTGCATGGCATTTTGATGCCCTCCAACATGCTCGTGCAAAGCAAATTCGCCCATTGTGTCCTGCTTCAGAGGTATGCTTATTGACAAGCGCGTCAAGTCAACACAAGAAAAGAAACAGGATATCGCATGCTGTCGCAATGAAACATAGTAAAGCTTCATGGTGGCGAAGATGCACTGAGAGTCAACCGAATTCATCGCCCCTGTCTCACCTCCTCCCATTTTGGCTTACACGGCCTTTGGAGTTACTCCTCAGGTTGCAGTTTGCCTTTGGGGGCCTGGTGTACCTGGATTGTAACTCTCTCTTCACTAGCGCAAGATGACCTGTGCAACCTCTGCACACATGGCGTCTCCACCCGTGCAAAAAAAGTGCAAGCAATGATATAATACTCTCGCTGCAGGACGTTCAGCACCTCCTACGCGAGTGCCTTCTGACATTCAGCGCCATATGGCTGGCCCGCTTACCACCTTGCATGCGGAGCTGAGTGGACTTCTTTTCGTTGCCCTCCTAATGGCAATCATCCACCCTGATGCCGATGATCAAGACGTCGGGTGGGCTCTCAATGCCACAGGAGGAGCGCTTACGCCCCTTTCTGTGGCTGTTGGCTTTCCCTTCCTACTCATCATACGGAAGAAAGCATTCCAAAGCTCTCCATGATGCTCTCAAAATGCAATCTCGCCCTTTGTGTCCTTCTTCAGGACGCACTGCCATCGATTAGCGCGAGAAGTCAACACCATAAAAGGTGTCACGCAGTCACATGGAATGCAACTCGATACTCCATCATGGCGAAGATGACTGAGTGCCAATGCCGAAATTCATAGCCCCTGTTTCACCTTCTCTCAGTTGGCTGACACGGCCTCTCAAGTTACACCGCAGGTTGCAGTCTGTCTTTTGGGGGGTGTTTTTTGGTTTTTGTTTTTGGGTTGGGGCTTGGCGGTTGCTTTGTTGGTCCTTTGGTGGTCTTCTTTACTGCAACCTGGATCGTAACTTTCTCTTCACTAGCGCAAGATGTCCTGTGCAACCTCTGCACACATGGCGTCTCCACCCGTGCAAATAAAAACAGCAAATGAAAAAGTTAGGAAAGACAAGGAAGCTTCCTCTATTTTCCTGAGGGTTGTGCGCAAAGACATACCGCAGCCTGTAAGGCGCTTTGCCGATCCAGGCGAGTCATACTTGCTGTTACGCCCAATACCTATCACCCCACCGTCCGCCCCTTGCAGTGCTGGTATACCGGATTTTTTGCACGGGTGGAGACGCCGTGTGTGCAGAGGTTGCACAGGTCATCTTGTGCTAGTGAAGAGAGAGTTACCAGCCAGGTTGCGGTTCAGGAAACCGCCAGAAAATACCAGCAAAACCAACACCAACCCCAACCACAACCACCCAAAAGCGACCCCAAAAGAAAAAACCGCAACCTGGGATGTAGCTCAAAAGGCCGTGTCGGCCAAATTGAGAGGAAGTGAAACAGGGGCAATGAATTCAGCACTGACTCTCAGTACATCTTGACCGCCAGCAGGGAGTGTTGGGTTGCATCCATTGTGACAGTGTCACTCCTTCCTTTGTACTTTCTTGTCTTGCTAGTCTTTGGCGAAGCATCCTGAAACAGGACACTGTGGACGAGGTTGCATTTGGAGAGCCTCATGGAAAGCGTTGGAGGCTGACAAGACGACCAGCGCTGGTATACCGGAGGAGACCCTTCGATATAGCGAACTATGCATTGGAACTAACTTTTTCATTTGCTTGCTTTTCATGTACCAAGTGTGCCCTCTGAGCGGGGCCTTCCTTTGTCAGTTTTTGGCAATCCCTCCATTGTGGAACATTGGTTTAACGTTTGGGCTTGCAGGCTTTGGGCCTGTGCTTTGGTCACCACTTTACATGACAACCATGGTTGGCAGTACTAGATGTGTCATGTCTGCAGCTCCTTTGGCTCTTAGCAGCCCAAGTCACCTCTAGGAGCCTGTGCACGCTTTCGTTCGGACGTGCAGTCCACCTCAGTGGAGGGCACCTAGAGCCGTGTGTTCGTTTGCCGTCTTGCTTTCGAGCTGGATCTGCCGAAGGTGCAGGCAGCAACCGCAGTTGGGGGCCTGGCGCAGTTACTTGTCCCAGTCCGACCACTTCCTATGTCAACAGCCGGAGTCGAAGTCGATGACCCGTGATGTCCTTGACGGACGCCGACGTGCAGCATGATAAATCAGACTTGGTCGACAACATTGGCCCCGAGGTCGATCAGACCAAGCCTTATGTCCATGCCAAAACGGGGTGGATCACTCGAGCAGACGCACACACCTTTTTCCATGACCGTATCGATGCCAATAGAGCAAAAGCGGATGCCTACCAAGCCCTTCGAGCTCCTAATGCAGCACGTGCCTTCTAGGCCAGTGCAAAACAGAGGATGTTCGTTCGCAGCCAAGAGATGATGACCCGGAGTACGCCGCTGATGACCCTTCCGGACATGTTGCAGATCTAGCGGCTGTCATCTGCTACCTGTTATAACATAGAGATCTTATTGCCACGAATGACATGATTACTTGATTGTCGACGACCATGACCCTGCTGAGGTCGGGCACTGGCCTGCGTTTGCAATGTGGTGGGCATCCAGGCGCCAGCTGGTTGGCCCTCAAGCTGAGAAAACGGACATACTGTGGATTCGTGCCAAGGCATCACCTCAATGGAAGAAGCCCAAGCACTCCTTCTACGGAACTTTCGAGGAGGAGGATGAATGGAACATGGCTCACGGAAATGATCCCTGCCCTCCTGGCTCCTATCCCGTTTCGAGAATTCTTTGGCATTCTGGCTCTCCTCTCTTCCTGCCTCAGCTCACTTTTGTCGAAGGGCCAAGGCGGACAGTCGCATATGGGCCAGTTCAGCCATACAGCGTGACCATAAGGAGCTTCAGGTGACCCCGCCGAGCCCAGGGGCTTCGAGGAATGCATGAATTTCACACAGCCTTCCCTCGCTTCAAGGCATGGATTTTTCGGTCAGCTGACCGAAAGGCCATTTGATGAGGTCCGCGGGAGCTCGAGTTGACACGGAGATTGAGGACGAAGTGACCTTGCTGGGTTGGAAGGTCTTGCTTTTCTTTTTGGTTGTGTGCTTGGTAGCTGCTGGATTGTCATGGATGTGGAAGAAGATCAAGCGCCTCGAATGGGCACTGGTTCGATTGCAGAACGAGCTGGATGTGCTCGTTCTGGCTGACTTCTCCAATAGCCTACATGAGATGGAGCTCACATGGAGCATGCAAATGTACTACACCGAGGATCCGCCAGGGCTTGATCTATGCGGATGGCTATGTGCAAGAGCCGTCAATCAAGCCTGAAGAGTGGGAAGTGCTGAACTACATGGAGAAAGTCAACAAGTGGCGCGACGGCCTACGGTTGAAGAGGCGATAGAACATCGTGAACAAAGTGAAGGAAGAGAAAGGCCCAGATCGTCTACCTCAACGACCAAGGTGGTTTGCCAGAGGATCAGATTATGAGCCACCATCACTTGGTCCAAGTGATCATGAAGGTGAAAAACAACCTGTTCTCTCTGGAGACACTGCAACCGTGAGGTTTGATGATGGGAGAGTGGTTGAGATCCCGTGGAGTACCTTGCCCGAGACATGGGTGAGCCAGAACCATCACCGATGTTTGATCAGGATGAGGAGAACGATGAGAACATGACAGAGAGTGCAAGCACACCACGTGGAGTTGAGTGGAGCCCGGAGCCGATCGAGATTGAGATTAATTTTGTTTTCATGAGCAGAATTTTCGGATCGAAGCCAGTTGGTTCAACTACGTGCGCAAAAATGACGCGCAGATGGAAGCTACCCTGCACCCACAGATGCAGGAGTGCTTCCTTTTCATGTCATGGGTCAGCATGGAAGCGGAAAGGCTCCAATGCTGAAGGGGGAGTGCGTAGACATCTAGAAAGCACTCACCCAAGTACATGTGATGTACACCAAATGGTGACACACACAATCGAGAAGTGTACCGTCAAGGCCGCCATTTCCAGATCAACAAGGGATCCGCAGTTTTCAAAAGACAACCTATGTCGGGTGCCACAGCAATGTACGCTCAAATGGTGTTGCAATTGTTCACTTTTGGACTTGCACGGTTTGATCCAATTGATCCAATAATCAAAGATTATGCATGTGCCATTCAATCATGAATTTCAATTGTTTTTTGATGTTCATGGACACACTCACAGACTTGGAAAACCGCAGCAAGCTACATTGTTATTGTTTTTGAAAACTGATAGTTTGGCCACGCATCCAATTGTTGTGCATTGTCTCCGCATGGACAATTCAACTGCAGGCTTGTGAACCTCTGTGTGAAGGTCAGAGAAGTAGTGTCCAGTTTCCCGTCACACAGGCCAAGTGGAGTATGACCTTTTCCAGGAATGGTGGCACAGCCCCCAGTTGACTTTTGTTGAACCGATCTGTTGACTTTTGTTTTTGTTTATTGTCAGGTTCTATGTGTTGATGTTCTTCATTATCTATGCCTTTGCTGTCGCTTCCTCAGACTCTTCTTGAGCACATGTTCTTTTGTCCGGAATGTTGGACAAGAGGACTGCCGCAGCTTGGAGAACCAAGGTGGCAGTCCATCTATTTTTCGACTACCGTCAATGGGAATCGGACCGAGTGGGGAACCCAAGAAACTTGGCGTTTCTTTTCCGAATGTCCGTGTGTACATGCCTGGGCAGGTGAAACTTCTCATGGAAGAGGCCTTCTATTCCGTGAATCTTCTTTGAGCGGTATTCCAAACACTTTAAGCTAAATAAATCCAATTGCCACAAAACTCTGCCAGGAAAAAGACTTGCCCAAAATGGGTTATTTCTGGTTTGACATTTCAACAAATCGCAATCCCTCTCTTTGTCTTTCAAGTGGGACCCTGTTCCAAGATAGTCTTGCAATTATCCTCTTTTGTTTTTCACCAGTCTGATGGTTGGTACTGCTTGACATTGGTCTTTGGTGCTGTCTTAGAGGCCCCACAGCAGCTCAAGTAGGTACTCGTATGTTGAAAGAACGAGCCCAGCTTAGAATGGGCTTCTGGGACATTTGCTATTTAGGCTTGATGCTGGTGTAAGTTTTTGTTGCTGTCAACACATCACGCGGTATCAAGTCACAGTTGTGACAGGCTGCTACTGCCTCATCAAGACCGGATGCAAAGAGGCACCGTTCGGAGTGATGTGGTGTTAGCAGAAGTATGCATGTATGTATATATATATATACACATTCACTTTGTGGTCAAGGCAAAGTGTGAAGTCAGAAACTGTGGGGCACTCAGCTTGAGACTCTGAAGCCTTGACGCCTCTGCTGGGTGGCCCTGCCAAATCAAAATGGCTTTAAAGACGAAACGCACACGCCTGGATCAATTTTTGCCGTACTTCTTTCTGAGTTAAGTTTTCTATTTCAATCTTTTTTGTCTGGAGGCTTTCAAATGTGTGCCTGTTTTGGTTGAATGAGTGCTTTCATGCGTTCTCAGGGTATCTCCGATATCTCCGACAGTTTCTATTTCCTCGAATCCGAGTGCTTGTCCTTGTTTAGATTCTCATTAGCCTCGCAGCGTATTCCTTCTAGATTCTAGACACTTGTTCATACTCGCTCTGCCATCGGCTCACCACTTGTGCCTGTTGAAGTTGTGTAGATATTTGATCCTGTTGCCTCTTGCATGCTCCGGGACGAGACGACAACGAGTCCTTGTTGGCACACAATGCATGCAAAGCAAAGCCACCAGTGGGGCAGAAGAATGTTGGAAAAGGCTGGAGGAGAGGAACAGCTGTTGAGGAACTGGGCCAAAGTGCAAGTTGGCACAGAAACTTGAAGGCAATCGGCAAGCTGGGAAATCCCATGATCGTGGTGGGCTGGGCATGCTTGAGCAACAGAATCTGTACATGTACAAGTACAGGAGGCAAGCGGACAAATGGAAGAAGAGTTTGGACGGACACCTGAGGCAGAGGGCAAACAAATGTTCGGGGCACACTGGGCACACTGACCAAAGAGGCTCTCAGTCAACATAAGCTCGCAAAGCATGTTTGTCCTTGTGCGTCGGGTCTTTGCTCGACTATTCGTGATGCGGCGCCTTGATTCAGTGCTCTCGGCAATATTTGCATTAATCTTGGAATCAACCTGTTTGGGGCTCTCCTTTGTGCTTGCTTTCAAGCCAGTTTTGGACATCAGAGTCACAGATGGCGCACTCAAGCATGATTGATTGACCTAATCTTTTTCATTTCTCATACTTGAGAATTGAGAACCATTTTTACAGTATACTCACATAACGCCTAGTCACAAGCTGTCATTTTGGGTTCCCATTATTGAACAGTGTGTCCACGATCGTTTGTTGTGGTCTTGAACACTTCTGTACTGGTTGCTACATAGTTCCTACGGTTCCAGGCTCATGCACTGGAAACCAGATTGAGTCTGCAGGCGCATTGGCCACATGTGTTTTCTGCTCCGGTACTTCAAGCATGTTTCCATTTTCCTGCCATTTTTACAAGTTATATACTTGTGCTTACGCGACAAACTTGCCGCACAATACCTTTTCCAGCCACGTCTTCTGATTTGTTCCTCCATGATTCTTGGCATGCCAATCACTGAAACTCATCAAATGCACATTGCATTGACCCATGATTCATGATATACACCGTCGGTCACCGACTGTATAAGATCCTGTGGAATCAGAAGCTGCTGAAAGTTTGAAAGCACCGTCCGTGCTGGATGTTGTACAGAGAGAAACTCCTGTACACTGTACAAGTGAGTCTGTGTTGTTTCAGATGTCAACATTGTGAGGTGTTCATGAAACGCATAGGCTGAGCACGAGCGCGCCGCGGCTCTGCCGGCGATGAGTCATTTAAGTTTCTGAACTAATCAGCTTCCGACGGCAGAGTATTGGCCTACCGGGACAAGGGCGAAGCTACCTCAACTGACAAACTCTTACTGGTGCTACTTTGGAGTTGTTCCTCAATCACCTAGCACTCAATGCTGAAAGTATAGCATTAGCGTAGCACATGAAACGAACAATTGGTGACAGTTTTCATTGTTTTGGCGGTTGCTACATACACCCTTGCGTGGCTTTTCCCAGAGAGGAGTTCACTCTGCTACATCACAAGCTTGGCAGTTGCTTCGTTGATGTTCCGTTGTTTTTCGTTCAAAACTGGGATAAAGGCTTGACTTGTATCCTATGACTCCTCATGTCGAAGTAACGAATGAAATTCCGGATTATCATAATTTCCTGCGCCTTTGCTACTTGGTCGGGGTGAAGACTGCTCCCAATGCACTGCCTCACATATTGGATGGCGTAAACTGCAATTGGGTGCGTGGTTGGGCCAGAGATGTGCGTTCAGTTGTATGCCGGAGCAGAGTCCTTCGTGGAAATAAGATGAAGGCTCAAAATGGTTGAAGGCTGGACATCATGTGCAGCAGTGGATGGCTCCACCGCGTTGGAGCGGCCAAAGCTACCGGTGTTCCTTCGTTTTCCGGTGTGGCTTATCTGCGTTTTGTCTTCACTCCTCTGGGCAACGTTCCGAAAGCTGGGCTGGATCGAAAGACTTTGAACCTTTTGGGAAAGTTGTGTAATGACTCTAATGACAGTCTTTGCAAAGAGCGTCGAGTCAGATTTACGTTGTGTGCCGGAGACAACGCATCAAAGAGCATTACGGCATATTACGGCTGTGTCCAAGGGACAGTTCACTTCGCCCTCGATGTGTTTCAAGCAGGTGTTGTGGATGCTGTGAAAAGGATAGCAAGACGCGACTGTCCAAGGCACAAACTTCTTCACATCTCACAATGCCCTGTAATTGCACTGCAAAATGACACGACTTCATATTGCAAGCCGAAACCTAGCATTTTGCTTCTGGACATGTCGTGCATTCCGCGACTAGAATTCCAAGCAGTGTGTCGGGTGTCGCGATCCAAAATGAAAGCCGCTAATACGCAATGCTGAATGCAACATGTGCAAGCATAATTCAAAAACTGTATTTTCGCCCAAATGGAAAGATCCCATCACAAAACCAACCATTGCATTCAATCTTCTTAGCAGTGGGCCCTGCGTGCGACATGCGTTCTGCAAAGATTCAGCTACCCATAGACTGGTCCCCATAACCTCCCGTCACTGATTGTGTTTGAATGAAGAATTGTAAGGGCTCCGCCCGGGTGCCGCCGACCCCTTTTCATCTCGAGGGTTTGGCGGTTGAACCTTGACAACTTCCTGGGATTCAACAGCGAGACTTGGATGGGCTTCACACCAATGCTGGCATTCAACCAGCTGCCGAGAAGAGGGCAAGGCTGCGGTGAGGCTCTGGGGAGCGTTTGAAGCCGAGCCAAAATGCCTAACGTTG